GTGTGGGTTAGGTGGAGACCAACACACACATCCACACCCATGCCCTCTTTTGTGATCAAAGAAAATGATAGAACGAAAGGAGGCGTACGTTTCTATATTCATGAGAGCGATTAAAACTAATAAATTTATGAGAATCTAATCCTTGACACCAATACATCATTAAATCCAATATTTGTTATAATGTAAGTCGACTATCTTCAAAAAAAGTATCAGTATGCAAAGAACGAAACGACTTACGTATTCGACAACGTCACTTGCATTTGTCGAGTGCTTTTGAACAAGCGCCTAAATACCAGTTGTTGTGCATTTTTTGACATGGTTTAGTAGGATATACATGTAATAAACCTAATCGTTGACATAAATTAATTGTTTTTTCAATAGTTGATGTCCACTCATTCCATTCACGAATAGTTAAATTGTCAAGAGAAGGTAATGGAGCATATGCCATTGTAAATGATGCAAGAATCATAGTGAAGTGATATTAAATAGGATATCTTTAATTATACTAAACTTAAACCTATCAGTATATAATTGGATTGTTCCTTTTTTTTATAATTACTATTTGATCAATCTATTAAACAACAATGTACGCTCTCTTTCGTTCTATCATTTTCATTGATCACAAAAGATTAAACAATATATATTTTTCCCTTTCCTCTTTACATATGTAACCAATCATGCGAGGGTGTCGTTGATCTGAAGAAATACCAAAATGAGTTTTATCTTCGAGTAATGCATGTCAAATAGCAGATGTTGAATAAGTTAATGTTGAAGAAGACGATGTACATATTGGTGTTGGGGAAGAAGAAGAAGAAGAAGAAGCGGGTGACGAAGTATCATCAACGTTTAACATAACTGCTTGTAAAATAAATCTAAAATTCAATCATAAACATTAGACCGCCGTTTAGACTGAATAAGAAAACGAAAAAGAAAAAGGAATAAGATAACACACTCTTTGTTAGCGATCATCTTTTGTATGAATTCAAATGCACTTGTCCATAACGATATATGAGAAAAAAAAGAGGTCACTGTCAAACGAATGATTGAGAAAAATTTGATTCGATTCGCTTTCGCTCTATGGTTTACACCACTAATATCTGTTTTTTTTCTTTCCTTTCAGCTGTTAACTCTGATGAATAAAGGACATGTGCATATAAATGTATTCACTACATTTTTGCTTCACTTTCAACGTGATCCTCATTATGTTTCTTTTACCAATAATACTTGTCGCCATATTGCTCTTTCTTTTTATTATCTATATAAGACTCGTATATTTTACATTGCACGGACCTGTACCAGGACTTCCATCTCAACTTTTCTTTGACAATCTTCTTTAATTCGGTCTTTTACAACATCGAGAAACTTTACTCAATATCTATAGGTCATTCAAAGCTCGATACGGTGATATATTTCAATTTTGGCTAGGCTTTACACGAATTATTGTTCTCGGAAATATCGATGATATTCAACATGTATATAATCATCGGCATATCTATGATGTGGGAATCATATTTACAGAAAAAATGGCCTTGCTCTTTACAAATGCACTTCTTGCCAATACAGGTCAGTGCTACGCGACTATAAAGGATGTTCCATAATAATTGAGGATGAATTATAAACGACATTAAACATACTTTTTCTTCCTGCACAAGATTGATATTGTTATCACGTATATATCTATAGAATATCTTTTGTTGACTAAAACTTCAGCTTTCTACCTCTAACTAATACAAAGATGCATGAAAAAGATTAAATTACATGAATTCTTGAACATAATGTTTTTTTTTTATAAACTTCATTCCTCACGAGAGAATTTTTCAAGATCTAATCTCGGGTTTGATATGAGAGTATATGTATGCAGGAGATCTTCATGACCAATGATCTACCTTAGAAGGATAGCTGTCCATAATTTGTTTCTGATAAGATATTGCATTTTTAGTGATTTTCCCCAGCAGGACAACAGTTTTTTTACAAAATAATATTTTCAAAATTTTGATATGAAAGTCAATTCGTATTTCTGAAATATTTTATTGGAAAATTTTAACATTTGTATCAGAAGTTAGCCTAGCTAAAGTTTTGATGCAGGTAATGTTCAGATCGAAATTTGAAAATAAAATTTTGTAGAAAAACTGTTGTTCTGCTGTGAAAAATCGCTAAAAATGCAATATCTCACTAGGAATAAGTTATGGATAGCTATCCTTGTAAAGTGAATCATTGTTCATGAAGATCTCCTGCATACATATAGTCTCATATCAAATTTGAGATTACATCTCGAAAGGTTTCTTTATGAAGAATGAAATTTTTACAAAAACTATGTTCAAAAATTCATGTAATCTGATCTTTTTCATGTATCTTTGTATTAGTTAGAAGTAGAAAGCTGAAATTTTAGAAAACGAAAGGTATTATACAGATATATACGTGATAACCATATCACCCTTTTACAGGAAGAAAAGGTAGATGAGCAAACCTTGCCCATGTAAAAAAAGGGAACAGAAAAATCAACAGATCCATGATTTTAATCGATTTCAGATGTAATTAATCGATGAACATCAATAAATTGTGATTTTTTCCGATTAAATGGGAGATTATAATAGTTTTCTTCAATAGAATTGATTAAAATCGATTGTATTTGATTTTTTATTAATCAATTATAATCAACTTTTAGCAGTAATCAATTTTCACCAGTGATTGATGATTTCTTTTCGATTTAAATCAATCAATACTGATTATAAACCATTAGAATCCATTAAGTTTCTTAAATCGATTATAATCTCTAGGATAAGAATCGTCTAAAGTCTAATCATACTGATTAAAATCTAATGGAATCGATTAAGTTTGTGAAGTGATTATAATTATAATTAGGATTAGACTATCTAGCTTAATTTGAAATTTAGCCTATTATTACTTCTCACTTAATATCAAGTTCGACTATTTCATACTAAACAGATGGCTCAATTAAAATTGGGTTTGAGTTATTGATTTACGCAAAATTTCTTCAAGTTTAAACCTTTCATTACTTCTAAAGGGGCATTCAATGCTATTGTTCAACCATACAAAAGAGGTTACCTAATAACCTCTGGTCGATTCTGAACAGCAGTAAGTTTCATACCTACAACAGATGGAAAAATCTCTACTGAAATTTGATTGGTTCATGCTTTCTATTGACTCAAAAGATTCGAGGAAACTGTCTTCTCCACTATCGAAAGAATAAATCTAATGTTGTTCTGAGCCAATTATGGGCTATCAAAAGTTCTCTCTAATATGATCTGAACAATAGTATGGTGCTTGCTAGGGTTAATGAGAAACTTGAAATTAAATACTATCGATTTAACTCAATTAAGGAAACTTGAAACTAAGTATTAAGTTTATTAATAACATTTAATTTTAAAATAAAGTTTCAAGTAGAAAATCTTAAGCCTTATATTAAGTGTTAAATAGTAAAACTTAAATTAATTTTAAGTTAACGATTCATTTCTAGTCGTCAGAGTATAGGTCTCTGAAGAGTGAACATTCCAAGATGTTAAAAACTTTTGAGATCACAATTTGTCCATCAACAGGGTACATATACATCAGAAAAACCCTAAAAGAGTATGAGCACAAGTTACGCCTTAGCTGAGATATCGAGACTGTGGTATAGATTTTTCATCAGAGCCCTACTTTTCCAATAAAATCAAAGTTTCAATTCTCACCAGAAACTGTCTACATCAAGATCTATAGCAGACTAGCTTGCCTACTAAACTTTATAGTTTTGGACAATTTTTCCTCCAGTTCTGGGTTGCTCTCGTGGAGATGTTTCTTTCATGGATAGTTTCTTATGCTGAAATATTTTGCAAAACTCATATTTTCGCAGTAAGTTGTCTAATGATTTTAATGTTTTGTAGGCAAGCTAGTTTAATTGAAATCTAAATGTGTAAGTATAAGAGCATGAGTATTAGGATATAGGTATAACGGTATAGTGATAAGGGTACTCTCTAAAAAAAAACCATCCCCTGGAAAACTGAAACTCCTTCAGAAACCTATCCTGAAATCCTTGGAAGTTTTTGAGAAAGCTTTCGGAAACTTCCAGCATCTTTAAAAATACCTCTACTTGAACTGAGATTGAATATGTCATGATCAAATTCCGATTGATTGCAAGCTCACCAAGGAATCAGATGAACGGTGCTTATCTTATCTAGTTTGATATAAATCTCTATTGACAAGAAATAAACTCAAATAAATGCGAAAACCTCGGATTTAAATCCGAGAGTTATGTGTACTTCAAAAAGTGAATGAGACAGATGAGTCTTCCTAGAATGTGTGGACATCAAAATTGTCCTGGCAAACCTTTTCTATAAACACTTGATTTCTATTGGCTACTGCTCAATCAATAGGATTTGGAGGCAGATACAGCTCAGATTTGAACTCTTTACCTTCATTTACCCTAAGAAACTCGCTTTTCCTATAACTTGATTTCTATTGGTCATTGCTCAACCAATGAAAGTTCAAGGCGAATGGAACACAGATTCGAGTTCTCCACCCCAGAAAACCTTGAACTATCATCTCTGTGATCGGAAGAACGAGCTCTATTTATGGATCAATTAGAGCGTGGATAAACACAGAACCGAATTCCGTTTAATTATCTTTGCAATAGGTGAGTTAACTTTCTTGTTTCCTTATGCTTTATATACCATTTTGTAGCTCGTGAAATTCTCTATCGAATGATATATAATAGTTGGGGTTTTAATTGACTATGATAGGAAAAATTTTTAAGGGAAATAGAGAAGGGTCGATTTTCTCATAGGGAAGCATAGGGAAAAAAATCAGTATTTTTTCAATAACTCAGGAAGGGCTCGTCCAATCAGGCTCATCTTCGAACTCGACCGAGACATTGATGAGACTGAACTGTATAGAAAATTTCATCGTGATCTGACTCTCCTTTCGAACGTTATCGTGTAAACGGCCGGACGGACACACTGACCGATTCTATAGTGTACTCACTTTTTGAGTACACAAAAAAGGTATATTGGTGATCGTTCTATCTTACTCTGATCTTTATCATAATTTCACGGGTATAATATATCTTACTTAGGATTTTCGAAAATGCTTTTTTCTTATTCCCAAAGCAGTTGAATATTACTTTTCACATTTACGTCATATTCGATAAAAATATTGATCATGAATATGGTTTCTTTTTACTCTTTGAGTATAAGGTATTCAGCTGGCTTTTAATCACTCAAGTGCATTATGAACGTAGTGTTGGTAATACTATCGGATAGATCATCCAGATTTCTAGACTGCTGGGTTTTTTTTAAAATTATTTTTAGATATTAATGCATATCTCAATTCCAGAAGATCTAGAATATTTCGAATGTTTGTTTTACATGAACTTTACTAATTCATTCACCTGGAAAGTAAACGAAGTGTCAACTTGACTAAATCGTTTTACTTCAAATGCTTAGACATTTGAAGAATTTCAATGTGCAACTCATATTTAGTCTCAAAAGCCGACATTTTCTTTTTTTTATCATCTCAACGATTTTATTAAGTAAGTCTCATTTTCATATTGAAAAACTAATACTTTCTTATCTTTCTATCTTAGATACTGAATGATTTGGTCTGCAAAGTTAGTATCATATTCGTCCTGAAAAACTAATCCTTTATTTAATGTCTATTTTACATTATAAATAAATCGACTTAACTAGTATGTCTCATGTTCATATCGAAAGATGTATAGTTTCTTTGCTTTCTACTTTAGGTGATGCATGATTCGACTTACAGTCCAAATTTCACGTTCGTTTCGAAAAAAGTAATACTTTCTTTTATTCCTCTTTTAGATTATATACCACTCGATTTACAGTGTCAGTGTGATGTTCAAAGCTGGAAAACTAATATGCTGTTTATTTCTATTGTAGATCATGAATGACTTTATTTCTATTTTAAGGCACGAACAGTTTGGTTTATAATGTAAGCCTTATACTGATATTAAAAAATAAAAATTTTCAGTTATTGCTATTTTGAGATAATAAACGACTAAGTTTACAAAATAAGTCTCATGTTCATAATAAAAACTTCATATTTCTTCCTCTTCCATTTTAGACCACACATGGTTCAATTTATAAATCAAGTCTAATGCTCATATTGTACAACTAATACTTTTTTTAAGATCATCAACGATTTTGTAAAGTAAGTTTCATTGTTATATTAAAAACCTTAACACTTTCTTTCATTTTCATTTTGGCTTATACACGACTCGACTCACACGCAAGTCTGTTGTTGATATTAGAACACTAATATTTTCTTCTATTTTTAGATGATGAATGATGCTATATGGGACGTTGGTATCTTTCCGTCTGTCAATAACCGATTATTGAGTTGGCTTCAGATTATGGGTGTGGGCATGATATTCTGTTCACTTACATTCACAAACTCTTTTGTTAGAGAGTAGTTTGTAGAATATATTCATTACAGTGTAGTAACAGGACAAGTGAATTTGTAATGATTACTATGAATTTTAATCGATTAATGTAATAGAATAGCGATCTCTAGAATTATAATTGATTATGGCTAATTATAATCGATTATTAATCGATTAAAGGTGTATAATTATAATTAATTTTTAATCAAATCGTAATCGATTTTAACGTGATTTTTTCCCTATTGTTATTCACATGGGGTGTATCCGTTATATTTACATTTTATTTGATACCATCGTGATAAACATACATATTTTTTTCTCTAGATGTTAGCATCAACGGTGCAAGACATTTTGATTCATGAAAATGATAGTATTAAGAAAGAGTTATCATCACCTACAATACATTTTCGTAGGCTATCAACATTAGAATCAGAGAATTTTCATTATCTTATTCAACAACAATATGGAGCTTGTTGGGGAATATTTAAATTTGAAGATTCTCTTGGTAGCTATCCTAGTGAGGTAAGTATGATTAATTGATTTATATTAAAGTGAATATTATTTTTTTTTGAATTTTTTTCAAATATGTTTTAGTTATGTTTAATTTGATTTTTCTAGGATCGACCATTTCTTTACGTTGATGATAATATTGATTTACATGTTCTACTTGATTTCATGATCAATGAATGGAAATTACAAACAACTAATATAGTCATACCTATTCTTAGTTCTATCACACGTCACAAATCATTCAAAAATCTTAAAATGGTTGAAGCATTAAAAGGAGGCATTAGAAATGTAAGTAAATTAGATATAGATGTACATGTATTTGCAAAAAAGATTGCACACTTTGTTTTATGAATATTTATTTCTATGTAAATCTATTTGACTTATTCGCTTTCTCAAATGATAGATCATAAAAGTAATATAATTCAAAATTTTGTTCATTCATTTTTGGAACAAATTATAAAAACATATCATTTATAAACAATGTACAATTTATTACAATTGAAATGCATTCCATATTGAAATTACCAAAATGGATTATATGAGGAAGATTTCTGAAAAATCATACACGTTAGTTTTCAAATATTAGAAGACTTTGTGAAACTCGTTTTTTAAGAAAGCTATCTTAAAGAGAACAAAATTCTGTGATGAGGGATGAACGAATTTCCGAAGAAATTCTCTTAAAAGGTTATAAGCGGAACAAAAAATGAAAACAAAAGGGAATAGTTATAGTATTGCCAAAGAAAAACTTATTGCTTTATTTCTTGCCATGTGTACAACTTTTTGAAGGAGAGTCAGGGATGGGTGTGGGTGTGGGTGTTTCATTGATAAATTGTTTATCAATATATAGAGCGTCCAGAAAGTAACTAAATAAAGAAAAGTTTGAATATCTTCGTCATATTTCGATTATATGGGTCAATATTTTTAGCATTAGTAAAGGAATGTTCATAAGAAAAACGTTTTCATAAATTATTTTTAAGTAGTATAATTGATTTCCACAAAGATTTGTCATATTTCACGAGTTATGACGAAGTAATCTTGTGGTTTTCTCAACAAATTCTTGCTGCTTACTGCTGAAACTTTCTGAGTATTCTGAATAACAAGAGATGCATTTGTAGTATAAGTATGAGTCTGAACAACACTAGTGTGAAGAATAAATTAAAAAAAATTGGATATCGTTCAGTCTTGACTCAGGGAATAAATATATTGTTCTTTCATAAATTGTGAGAGATTATAATTATTTCTTAAAGTTACTTGTACATACTTCAAAACAATTTTTAATATTGTTTCTCTTATGAATATAAACTATGAATACTACTTGATTAAGGGTAATGATATCAATCCATATGGTCGAAATATGCCGAAGATATTCAAATATTTTTTTTCGTTCAGTTACTTTCTGAACATCTTATATTACTGATTATATTATGAGGTTGCGATCATGTTGTAAAATGCTGTTTTTCTCAAAATTTAACTTAAGTAATATCTAATTATTACAACAAATATATTCATCAACAACTTTTATGTATCCTTAATAGTGAGGGTGTATCATCGAGCGATTCTCCTTCAATACTTAACTAAATTAAATGGTTTGATTTTATTAATAGTACGAAGAGAAAGTTCCGATGCAAATCTTTATTTCGTACTGCACAATGTTCAATAAAAGCACATGTTTGCTTCAATAAACAAATTTGAATAGATAACAGCTAATTAAAAAAGTAAAGAATGATATATCCAAAACAAAAACAAACGTTTTCTACCTGACAACAAAGGACAATCGAAAAACTGATCAATAACCAAAGCTCTATTTTTGTGCAAATTTGTCTTTTGCAAACACCTGTATATATTTAGAATAAAATAAAACTCAAAATATTGATTAATTTAGGTCGTCAATGCATCTGAAGTATGGTTTATAACAAATGGTCTTGATATTGGTATGCCAAAATTAATTGGATCAGCTTTTCACGATGAAATTGTATGAAGTTTCTTTGATAAATTTAAAAAAAAATTACTTTGTTCAAATATAGTCATTACGACGAGCTGATGATATATGGGCAAAACAGATGGATCGAGAACTGGAAGAACATAAAACATTAATTTTAATCGGAATTGTTTGTGATGATGACATTAAAGACTCTATTGATTTTCATTCAGCAAAAGACAAATTAAAAATAGTTAAAAAGACAACTTTATTTTATAGTTCTACTTCAGTTTTATTCTATTTTTCAATAGGAAATAAAAGTACCACAAAATGAACGTGCACAATTATCATTAAACAGTGATCATACACATTTTATAATAATTCGTAAATCACCAATTGGTTCTAGTTCGACAAATATTTCAGAAACAATCGATACTAACAATAAACTGTTAGAAAAAATAACTGATTCAGCTGGAAATGTTACAAATAAATTTCGCAATCGTTTTGAAGCTTTTTTACATCAAGAAGTATTACGACAACAAGTTATAACTTCTACCGAATTACAATCACCAACAACCCGTATAAAAATAACTTGAATAAAAAGGAAAAAATTAATTGATTTGTTTAGATTGTTTACCGACACTATTAAAAAAATCTAATTTATGTGGTGAAGATGGTTTTCCAATGGTATGTACCTTATTTCATGGTACACCAGAAACAATTGAACTTGTCTATCAAAAAATTCAACAAGAAGTTCCTATTGTCGTATTTAAAGGAACCGGATTAGCTGCTGATCTTATTTCATTTGCTTATGAAGAAATTAATACTAAGTAATAAAATGAAAAAAAAAAAACAAACAAGATTCAGTTGAAAAACGCTATTTCTTTTTAGAAATAAAAAAATATCTGAAGATGATTATTTAAAAGTTGAATTAACTCAATGTTTAGTTGATGAATATCCCGAATTAAAAGATAATAATCTTAAACGAAATGAAATTCGTAATTATCTTATGTCAATTATTAAAGAAGCCGATAAAGAAGGAAGAAAATTTTTATCATTTGTTGATATTAATAGTACAACACCATCATTAAATGATTTTCATAAATTTATTCTTTCAGCTCTGTTACAAGGTATGAATATATACATTTTTATTTTCTTTATTTTTATTATTATTTTTTAATTTAGGACAAAAAATTGTAACTGACGATAAAGTTAATATTGAATCAAAACAAAATTATAAATTAAAACGAATTGCTAAATTAAAACGAAATGCTCAAATAAAACAAAATCTTCTATTAACACTTGATTGGAATTTACCGGATTTAGCTTTATCAGAAGTTTTTCAACGTTATGATGGCATGAAATGTACTATACAAAAAACATTATTTGATAAAGCCATACTTGAAGAAGATCTTGAAGCATTTGTTGATTTATTTCTTGAACGAGAATTTGTTCTACATCGATATTTAAATTCAAAAAAATTAATTAACTTATTTAATCAAGCAGAAGATAAGGATTTTTTCATCATAACATCACTTGAAGGAATTCGTAGTTTAACAGGAGTAAATAAGACAAAGAATTACTCGGTATTCATTTTCTTTTTGTTTTTTTTTATTTTGTATTAAATAGGATGAAGAAGTAGAAGAAGATTTTATTGAAAATGATCTTAATGGAATTATTAAACGTTTGACGGGTATCAATCGTTTTTTTTGTAAAAGTGAAATGGATAATAATGCTATGGGAATTTATTTTGGTGATAAATCAGACAAAGATCTTCAGAAACAAAAGATAATAGCAGAAAAAAAAGTAAAATACGTTTTTTTTGTTTAATCGGCTTGAGCGCGTAACGCATAACTTCAAGGACTGGAAGTTTGAAGTCACGATTTTTGAAACGTTTTATTGCCACTCTGTAGAGCATGGTCTAAAGTGTAGGAAACCACATTTTGTTCTGTTAATAAATGCTTTGAACCATATTTGGCAATTGTTAACAGAGAGATCACTAATAGATAAAGAAAATGCCTCTATTCAGACTATTAGTTGTCTTAACCCATATTTTGAAACAGCTTGGTATATACGAAGTTGATTAAGACTAATCAAGACCATGATAGCAGATATATCTTTTTACATAACAACTGATTTCCTATGTGCCATACTTTTTTGTAGCGAACTTAGTTAAAACTACCCTTTTTATAACGTCATCGTGTAACGAAAAATGATAATTGTTTTCTTTTCACAAAAAATATATACCTAAAACTAGGTTTTTTATGGGCTATCTAATGCATCTATTTTTATCTGAAAAAGATTTCATTGTATAATAGTTTTGAGTAACGCGATGACATTTGTTACGTTTCTTTTGCTTTTTTCCTATTAATGGAAAAATATTTTTAGATAGTGATTTATTATTCAAAAACCAGTGTAAGCTATCAGTGATGGATTTTTTATTGATTACTAACAAATTGTCATAAGAATAAAGTTGATTGTGTTCAATTAAAATTAAATTGTTCAATCAAAATTACAGAGGAAAATGTATTTACATATCGAAAGGCCATATTTTATCAAATTATGCTTAAAGAATTATATTTTTATGTATGTTTGGTTAATTATTTGTATTATTTGTTCCTATTCTTCTTCATTCTGAATAATACTAATAGCTATCTTTGTCTAGTAGTGTTTTATTTCAATAGTTAGTAATTGTTTTATTTCATATTCATTGTACATACACATTGTTACCCAGAGGCCACGCGAGGGTGCGAAGATTGGGAGGGTGTAAAAGTACTTTTTGCAACAAAACCTCATAAAAATATGATAGAAAATCTAAAAAATACATTTCTATCATTGAAAAAAGTTGAAAATTTCCCATTATTGTGGGGGGGGGGGCGGGAGTGCACACCCCTTTACATCCCCTACTTCCGCGACTCCTGTTGTTCCAAATATTAGTCAAACTAGGCTATTTTTTTACGATTTTTTGCATTAGAAGGATCTAATAAACACAACATTTAACATCTGCACACTTCAATCCTTGGGATAAAAATAATATCTTGTCGTTACACCGGTATAATATATAACGAAATGAAGTATAGAAAAAAATAATAATAATTACAAAAGTCATCATCATCGCGTTACGTTAATTAAATCAGTCTCTCTTCCAAATAAGAAGCCAATTCGAAGAATATCTTTTTTCGTCGAATACCTCAAACTGTCAGCTATAAAATGTTCATAGAATGTTTCTTCGAATACAGCGTACATTCGCAGAGAAATAAAGAACAACGACGTCACCCTCAACTTTTTGTCCTTTTTTCGTCATCGCCTTACGTCATCTGTTTTTGCTATAATTCTCCAACGGCTCATTCAAACTAGCTCATACTTTGAGACGTTTTTGGAAAGACAGAGATACATCTTCTAACGAAAGAATGAACTTACTATATAATCTAATTGCTGAGAAAAAGTAATAATACTGAAGCCAAAACGTCATCGCGTTACGCTTGCTCAATCCGTAATGTTTTCACAGAAATTGTTTTTGTTTAAAATAGGCTCTTCGACATTTAATTATTTATGCTGTATTAATGAATCGATATCAATTAGCAAAAATTCTTTGGAAACGTTCATCAGAACCTATTCCATTAGCATTACTTTGTTGTATGATGTTTAAAAACTTAACACCATATTGTCCTGAATCTTATCTAAGATCATTGACAGTAAAACAAGCCAAGTAAATTTTGAAAATAAAAGTTCTGCTTATTTTTCGTCTTAAATAACATTCTTTTATTTATTTCAGAGAATTTTCCGATTGGGCTGTAGGCATTCTTGATAAATCATTCGATGAAGATCATAAAAGAACATTTGAAATGCTTGATGAAAAACATCCAGTAAAAATTGTTAAAAAAAAACAAAGTTCCTAAGAGATAAGAAGTATTTTAATTAAGGATTGGAATTATGTGACAACTATTGAATTAGCTTATCGTGCTGACAATAAGGAATTTATGGCACATCCTGTTTGCCAAAAATGGGTTACAAGACAATTTTATGGAGAAATAACACCATGTGAAATTTCATGGGGATTATTTACTTGTCCAAAGCATCTAAAAGTTAGTGAGAAAAATTAGATCAATATGATACGAATGGTTTTTTTTTTATTGGATAGATCATATTGAGTGTCATTCTTATATTTCCAATGTGGTTTTGGATAAATTTTTCTCCAATTGGTCAAGCACCTTCAATAACAAAAAAAACTGGTGATTTGTCCAATGATGCAAAAAAAGATGCAGAAACAGAACCAAAACTTGATGGTTAGTTATTTTAATAGTTTCTTTTTAAATTAAAAATTAAATGGAATTTAGAAGGAAAACAATTAGTTGAACAAATCGGTGAAGTAACCGTTCGACAAAGAGTACGTATGTTATTAATAGATTCATCATTATATTCTACAGACTTGTATTTTATTTGCTCTATATGTTTTCTATCACACGCTCAATAATTTAAAAAGACTCAGTATTCAAGAATGTGAATGATAATTCTGGTGTGGGTATTTGCGTCGACCTTTCTGACAGTGTAGTATCCAAATCGCATACTCACACTCACAAAATTGATAGTTTGTATCTAATATTGCATATTTCACTTACTGTCTATATTAGATCAACTACTGACTATATATCAATCATAATGAACTAATTCAGAGTATTAAAACCAGAGTCATAGGTGATGGAGACATGAGCTTGGACAGGTTGAACTTCACTTCAGGTTCACGTATCGTAGACCAGACTCAAACAATTGTTTCTGGCTCAGTTAGATCCATCGAATTATGCATTGCATTGAAATTCTTATAAAGACGTCGAAATTTTCCACCACGTTCAGCAGCAAACAGTAACATCATCATAATGAAGCAGACTTAGAAATATATTTTCCAGAAAATATTCTATTTTGTATGACTCAACATAGGACTCTACATGATCATTGAGTTGAAGTAGTACTATGATGAAAACTCAAATTAGATAAATGAAAAGCTACTGAAAGCTTTTTGCTGTCTTCAATAGTTGAGCTCATAAGTCTAAAAAATATTTTCAACAAAGTGAGCAAAATCAAAGCGTACATTTTTTTGACACAAGTTGTGAATATTTTTGGAATCATACCAGTTGTATACAGGTCAAAATATGGATTGTAAACTAGAAGCATTAACTTTATTGCTTAATTTTATAGGGATTATTAAGCGTATCCTACACTCGAAACGTTTTGCAGCCTATAATCAGAGTAGATATATACTATGGGAGAAATTAAAATCTACGGCAATTCCAAATTTCCCGAAACACCAATCTAAATTTTTATTTCTCCTATACTATACATATGTGTACAGTTAATCATTCATTTTTTACGTATATGAAAAAAGCCTTTTCAGAAACTTCAAAAATAATATTGCTCTGATATTGATAATGATTGAATATTTAATTGATCTAAACTAAGTTCGATAGAGTAATATGAAGAAGTTACAATATTATCAATCAGTATAATTTCAAAACGACATATATATATATATATATAAATTTATTTAGAATGGTATTTTTCAACGACCAGGACGTCGTTTTCGTGGTAGTGCTATAAAAAAATCAAAAACTACATTTCATAAAAAACAACTGAATTTTTTTGAAAAAATTAAAATTTTATGGTCAGCACCAATAACAAAATTTTATACAAATTTTGTTTGTTATATTGTATTTTTATGTTTTTTTACATTGGCTGTTATGTGGCCATCATGTGGAAATTTACTACTTGATTTCTTTGTTTGGTTTTGGGCAGCATCAATTGCTTTTGAAAATACGCGTGGTACTTATGAAAAATGTTATGTAAGAGTCTTTGTATAACAAAAAGAAACTTGAAAAGATTTAATATTCTGAAATTTTAGTCTCGAAGTAATTTACCTTTACGACGATCTGTATTAGAAATTATCATACAAATTATATTTCTAACACTTTTTCTTGGTTTTCGAATAATTGGTTTATGGCATTTTGGAAGTAACAGAATAGACAAAAACTATAATTGATTTTTTTTTCTTTTTTTTTTAAATAGCTTGTCAAGTTGTAACATCAAAAGCAATCTTAGGTGTTGGATTAATTTATTATTATTGTCGATTATTATTTATTTTTTTACCGATAAGTCCAATACTTGGTCCGTTGATGATTCGACTTCGATATATGGTAATTTAACTATTCATTTTTGTTTTTTTTTCTGAGAATATTATTATAGATCACGGATGATTTTTTTACATTTTTAAAATTATTTATGATATTTATGATATCATCTGGTGTTGCAATAACAGCTGTACTTTATCCACATCATCCACTTAATTTAGATTTATTTTCAAAAGCTTTTGTATTTCGCGGTTTTATGGCATTATTTATTAGTGATTTGGCTGATTTAAAACATCAACGTGGACCATGTTCAATAAATGCAACAACTCAAACAGAAAGAAAATATGCTTGTCTAAGATTATCTCATGGTCTTTCATTTAAATGTAACAATAATATTTTGTTTTGTTTTAATAACAAAACACTTTTTCTTTTTTTTGTTCAAGATGACAATCCTTATGCATATAAACGATATGGAATACCATCACAAAATTGCAATCAAACATCATGGATAGCATGGTTTTTACTTATACAATATTTCTTTTTAGCTAAACGTTTTCTTACATCACTTTTAACAGCGATGTTTGGGTATATTAATTTAGATAAAATCAATTCACGTCAGATAACTGAATTGTTTTTTTCTTTTATTAAATTAGTTTAACTGGAGCAAGAGTACAAAGT